AAGGAAGAAAGGAAGAAATGAAAACCCCTGCTAGCTCTGGAGATTGTTGTTAAAAGTGTTGGACAAAATGGACTAGTTAAGAAAATTTTATCATTTCTAGTTATCTTCCAACATTTAATTGTTTTGAGGCAGTAAAGATTTAAGGAGCAAACTAATGATGATCTTAAAGACCAGAACAACCCTGACTATACTTACTACCTTAAAAAATTAGATTTGTGGGAGGACATACGCTTGTATATAAATATGTTACTGGGCATTTGATAAGAATTAAGTTTTCATTAGATTTAAAGTTATGATGACAAAACCACCCTTTTCTAGTATATTTACTGCTACCTTAACTCATTTTAAGAAGTAGGTAAAGATGGATATCAAACTATACTACAAAGCCATTATAATCAAAACAGCCTGGTATTGGTACACAAACAGACCTATAGATCAATTGAACAGAACAGAGGCCCCAGAAATAGACCCAACCCATTATGGTCAATTAATACTTGACAAAGGAGGCAAGAGCATACAATGGAGTAAAGATAGTCTCTTCAATAAGTGGTGCTGGGAAAACTGGACAGGGACATGCAAAAAAAATGAAACTAGACCACCAACTTACATCATACACAAGAATAAATTCAAAATGGATAAAAGACTTAAACGTAAGTCATGAAACCATAACAATCCTGGAAGAAAACATAGGCAGTAAAGTCACAGACATCTCAAGTAGTGGAATTTTCACTGATATATCTCCTAGGGCAAGAGAAACAAAGGAAAAAATAAACAAATGGGACTACATCAAACTAAAAAGTTTCTGCACAGCAAAAGAAATCATCCTCAAAATACAAACGAACCCCAGGGTCTGGGAAAACATTTGCCAAGGATACATCTGATAAGGGGCTAATTTCCAAAGTGTACAAAGAATTCATACAACTCAACAAGAGGAAGGCAAATAATCCAATAAAAAAATGGGCTAAGAACCTGAATAGACACTTCTCCAAAGAGAACATACAGATGGCCAATAGACATACGAAAAAATGCTCAATGTCGCTAATCATCAGAGAGATGCAAATTAAAACCACAATGAGGTATCACTTCACGACTGTCAGAATGGCTGCCATCAACAAATCAACAAACAAGTGCTGGTGAGGATGTGGAGAAAGGGGACCCTGGTACACTGCTGGTGGGAATGCAGACTGGTGCAGCCACTATGGAAAACAGTGTGGAGGTTCCTCAAAAAATTAAAAACGGAACTGCCTTTTGATACAGTGATCCCACTTCTAGTAATATATCCTAAGAAACCCAAAACACTTATCAGAAAAAACTTGTGCACCTCTATGTTTATAGCCGCACAATTTACAATAGCTAAGATCTGGAAACAGCCCACGTGTCCATCAGTGCATGAGTGAATAAAAAAACTGTGGGACATTTACACCATGGAATACTACACAGCTGTAAAGAAGAGGGATCTCATACCCTTTAGGACAGTATGGATGGACCTGGAGAATATTATGCTGAGTAAAATAAGCCAGGCAGAGAAAGACAAATATCACATGATCTCACTTATATGTGGAATCTAAAGAACAAAATAAACTGATGAACAAAATGGATCCAGTGACATAGAAGCATGGAACAGACTGACGAATCTCAGAGGGAAGGTGGGGGTGGGTAGGTGGGGTGGGGAGAGATTAACCAAAGAATTTATATGCATAAATGCATAGCCTATGGACACAGACAATTGTGTGGTGAAGGCCTGGGTCAGGGGGTAGTTGTGGGGTAGAAGGGGTCAATGGGGAAAAAAAGGGGACATCTGTAATTCTTTCAAAAATAAAGATAAATTAAAAAAAAAAAAGTAGGTAAAGAATAACTTCCAAAATAACAAAACAGCATGTGCCCAATATTACTAAATCTTTGGAACAATGATCAGCAATAAACACATGAAATGAATCCAATACTAGAAAACAATATTTTTTAAAATGTCATTGAGTAACAACCAGCTCTAGGTCAATGGAAAGGTGGGGACTGAGCTGGTTCTGTAGTTCTCCCCCAGATTTTTGACATAAGGTAAGGGCAATTCCTCTAAGACACCAAAGGTTTCCACTCCAGAAAAAAATATTCCCCAGCATAAGTCATTATTTAGAATTAAGTCAGGCTCTGAATTGGTCACTGCTGGATTAAATCAACTATATCAGGGTTGCCAATTGACCCAAGGAGACACCATTCAATGAAGACTACAGAGAACATACAGGAATCACGGGCCAGGAGCCCACATTTAGTTTTTATTTTTAATCCTTACCTGAGGACATTTTTTCCATTGCTTTTTCAGAGAGAGTGGAAGGTGGGGGGGAGAGAGAGAGAAATATTGATGTGATAGAGACACATCGAGTGGTTGCCTCCTGCTCGCGCCGACCTGGGAATGCCCAGCAAAGCCTGCAACTGAAGTATGTGCCCATGGCCGGAATCTAACCCAGGACCCTTCGGTCCATGGGTCGACACTCTAACCACTGAACCAAACCGGCTAGGGCCAGAAGCCCACATTTATCAGCACATAGTAAGTGGGATACAATGATTTGCCTAATTTTTTTTTAAAGATTAAGAATAAACTTGTAGCAACTATAAGACCAAGCAGAGAGAAAAGGAAGAACTTAAATGTAGTTCCTTGCAATCCATGGGCCTTCTTACCCTTGTTCTACGTTTCCTCCTTAATGCCTTTCCATCTTTTGTCAACTCAAGTCCATCTTTCTTTAACTGATCTGACAATCACACATACACTGTTTTTTCTTCTTCTAGGTGTTTGGGATGTGAAGGGCAGTAGGAGAAAGAAAGAGTAGGATAAACAGAAATAAATTTCATGGATTACATTTCATAAATTACACCTTTAAGTCTAAGAATAATTTTCAAGGTGAATATTTGCAGAATTTATATGTATTGGCAACAAGATTAGATCCCAACAAATGATTAAGGTAAACAATGTGCTCTTTTTTTCCTATCCTAGTTCTGGTAACTCAATAGTCTACAACTACTTGAGAAGGTGTGAGGATCATTTTTTATCTCAGTTTGGACACAGAAGCTCACATTTCAGCAACAATCAAGGCGATCATCCCTATCCCTTGCTGACACCTTGCTCCCACACCCCAACAAGTCACAGATCACCTCTAGGAGAAAATTTCAACAGGCTATTAAACACTGGCATGGATACTGTGAGAAGACAGATAATTGTCTCTGGGGATCTTTACGAACAACTAACCATCTTGCATAGGTAGAGTTACACCTGATTCAGTCCATCAAAACGTACTAGCTGCTGAAAACTCACAAAGCATTGTGGGACTAGTGAACTGAGGAGGAGGCACACCACCTGCCCTGAATAAACACAAATCGATTGATTTGGACTGCTTCTTAGAAAGGCATATTTAGGGTTGGTTACCATTTAAGTGTATGTAATACTGGGCCATGCAGTGTACAAATAGAATTTTGTGGGCCTGCTTTTTGTCTTTAGGTTACACAATCTTAGAATCAATTAGTAATGATTATTTAAGTCAGTAATTCTCAATCTTGGCTAGGCATTAGTATTTTCTGGGTGTGTGTACAGGGGCTTTAAAAAAGAGAGATGTCTGGACCTGCTCCAGTCCAAATAAATCAGAATCTCTGACCCAGTTTCTTTCTTTCTTTCTTCCTTCCTTCCTTCCTTCCTTCCTTCCTTCCTTCCTTCCTTCCTT